TTATAATTAAATATAAAATAATACTAGAGTATAGGGAACAGCTCAATAAAATTTAAAATTATTTAGTGCACTGAGTAGACAAATGTTCTGAAAGACCTGCATTATAATGACTTATACTTTATCAACAAAGACTATCTTAATCAAATAAGGAAAATATTTTGTGCTTCAAAATTGCAGCAAAAGTTAAAAAAAATAAAAGTATTGGACTCTGGTTGATTCTGGTCTTCTGTTCCCTGCATCATTTTAATCAATAAAGATATATAATTAATGGAAATGGTTTACAATGCCTACAAATGAAATCATTCTGACTCCATCATTCTAAAGTTATCCATACAAGGTTGCTATAAAATTAATGATAATGAAAACTATATAGTAAAGTACCTATTTGAAAAATGTTAATACTTTGCATATTAAAAACACTACTGCCTAATTAATAAAATTTTCCCCTCTAGGGCAATCTTCTGTGTTCAGGTTACTTTAGCATCTTGGCTAACTGCGTGTGAGACCTTTATCAGTTTTCAAGCCATAAGAAAGAACACTGAACCTGCCTCCTTTCTTCAATAAATTTCTTAGTGGATAGAGAAAGGGAAATGTATGTTTAGACAAAGAAGCACTCAGAAAGTCTGAATCTCCAACATGAAAACCACCTTGAGTAGGGAAATTGGGTCTCTTGTTCTGGGCAGTAATCTTTCAGTTAAGTGGTGGCATAATGTCTTGGGAGAGGAACAGCATGTAGCTTTCAGATCATAACATCTCTCATGGCCAATGATATAAGTGGTATGTATGTGCCTAATAAATATGTGATATAAGACAGGCATCCAGGAAGTGACCCTTTATCTATACTAAACAGATATATCAAAGGAGAAATTGGGTTATAAACTAGCTTCCTAAGAGACTGTCTGAACAAGTTAAGTTCCTGACAATCTCATGACTAGAAGCTTTCCACATGCTGGAAGTTGGTCAACCAATTCTACGTTGAACAGGGGCTTATCTGAGGAAGTTAAAGATGGCATAATCATATAACCCATTCTGCAAATATTAGTGAAGCCATATTAACAGTGAAAACAGCATTAATTTAAATCCTCATCTCCACTTTTCTCTTCAAAACACAGGCTCTGCAGCTGTTATCTCAATATAGCCACATTCTGATATCTGTGCTACACGGGAACAGCTCATGGCACTTGTTTCCTAAGCATCCCTCAAACTTTTCAACCTGAACCCCACATCCTGGGGATTCACTGCCATTTTTGATGAAGCCACTTGAGGGCAGCATCGCACCACAACTGATGCTGTTAGACAAAGGCACAACAGAAAACCAGACATGTTGATACACACCTGTAATACTAGCACTCAGGATGCAGAAACAGGAGAACAAATGTTATCTTCAACTTCATAACAAGTTTGAGGCTAGCCTGGGCTACCTAAGAGCCTGGGCTCTGCCTCAAAAAATTAAGTAAATGCATATATAGCACAATCACAATTATAAAGTAATCATATAGAAAAATGTTAATAAAATTCAATCCTCAGTGTAAGAGTTTAAGAGATAAGTAAATACAAGAGAATTATAAAACCAATGGCCTTTGTTATAAAAACCAATGGCTTTTGCTATATACAAAGCAACAAACAGGAAACTTGATTTAGAAATGTAATTAATACTAGCAGCTAAAATATATAGGGATAAATCTTATAAAAGATGTTATACATTTATGAAAAATTCTAAAATATAAGAAACAGAGCATATAACATCTATATGAAGAAAAAGTTTGAACTTAATTGAAAGACACTAAAGACAAAAGTGAGCAATAAAAGATTCAGGAAGAGGAAATAAGAAAATAACCAAAGAAAGGAAGTCACCAAAAAAAACCTTCAAAGCTGGGCTTGGTGGTGCATGCCTTTAATACCAGGACTCAGTTGGCAGAGACAGGTAGATCTCAGGATCTCTGTGAGACTGAGGCCAGCCTGGTGTATATAGTGAGTTCCAGACCATCTGGGGCTCAAGGGAGACCCTGTCTCAAACCAAACAAACAAAAAATTCCAAAAAGTGTCTACATTATCTAGATTGAAAGTATGCATCATCTGCTTGGCCTAGTATGTGAAAACAGCTACACAATAAGCATGTGAAATTTAGAAAACATTAACATTTTCAAGATGAAAAAAAGTCACATAAAATATTTAGGGATCAGAGTGGCATAGGATTTCAGAACACTAGGGTTATAATAAAATGCAACAAAAACTCTGAAATTCTGAGAAAAAATTATCGTGACTTTAAAATTTTTGTTGTTGCTTTGTTTTTTTTAAGACAGGGTCTCCCTGTACCCCAGCTGGCCTGGTACTCACTATGTAGACCAGGCTGGCTTCAGTCTCACAGAGATCCACCTGCCTCAGCCTCCTGAGTGCTGGGATTAAAGGTGTATGCCACCATCTCTGACTGAATCTAAAATTCCGTTTTTTTTTTTTTTTTTGGTCTTTTTGAGACAGGGTCTCCCTGTAGCCCCAGTTGTCCTGGAACTCACTATGTAGACCAAGCTGGCCTTGAACTCACAGAGATCCGCCTGCCTTGCCTCTGCCTCCTAAGTGCTGGGACTATAGGCATGCTTTATCTAGCCCAAATACCAAACAAATTTAAGGATAGAATTAAGACTTTTTGGAGATAGGAATTTTAAAAAAACTTCCCTCCCTGTATATTCTCAGGAAGTGTAAAATGAAGAAGTACACTGAACAAACTGACAACTGCAAGAAACAGGGACTCCAACATAAGACAAAGTGAACAGAATTCCCAAGGACGGTGGTTAGAGTGTTTTAAAAAATGGGGCGGGGGGGCAGCAGGAGAAGACAACTTTCAGGAGTTGGTTCTCTTCTTCCGTGTGGGTCCTGGGAATCAAACTCAGGTTTTCAGGCCTAATGTTAGGCCCACTGAGCCATCACTCAGGTCCCATAATGACTTTTAAAAAAACCCCAAAATTTCCATAGATGAAACTATTAATATAGCTAATGTCTGAACATATTAAAAGAATTTTCAGAGAACGAGCACAAAGTTTCAGGATCAAAACTACACAATTGTCTGCACAAACCTGAGCGAACAACAAGTGCCCAAATAGGATTCAAACTACTACTAAAAGCACTTGGGGAAATGGCTCACCAGTTAGGAAGATATACTGCTTTTGCAGAAGACTGAGTTGGGTTCTCAGCAACCCATGTCAGGCGTTTTACAACTGCCTACAACTTCAGCTCCAGCAGGTTCAATGCCTCTGATCTCTGGGCACACATACACAAGCACACAAATACAAACACACACACATACACACACACACACACACACACACACACACACGCAATTAAAAATAAATCTGATTAGTCCAGAAAAAAAGATGGTGGCAGAATGAGGTGTGGCCTAGACAACTGGCCTTGGCCCAGGGCATGCTGACTCCCAAGAGACTGAGTGCCTGTGCTGGACATGTGAGAAACCTTATCATGCAAGATGAAAGTCTTAGGTGCTTCTAAGTTGATCTAAAAACTCTGAATTCAGGATTTGGCAAGTAAGAAAGAAAAAAACCCTGGAAGCAAATATGGCAACAACACAGCTGTGAGCACTGGAGAATCAGTGGCAGTGGTGGCTCTCAGCACACGGACTTAAAACATGACTCTGGGCCTCCTCATTTTATTAAGAACCTTGGTACTTCTCTGTGGATCTCAAAATACTGAATGCAGGACTTAGCAAGTAGCAAGACGGTGCCCAGAGCTGGGCCTGCCTGGCCATCCACCCCCACACACCTGGCCACCCACACACCCCCACCTGGCTTGGTTGCCCACCACATATAATGCACTCCAGGGGTCCTCTAGCTACCAACTTTGGGCGAGGGGGCCAAGCAGGTACAACCAGGAGGGAGTCGCAGCTACCCCATCATACGACACCCAGTGCACCTCTCTTGCAGGGCTGGACCTACAAGTAGCCACTGCACAGCACACACCCCGATCATCTTGGCCATCATCATCATCCATTGATGGTTAAGACCTGGCTGCAGTCTGTTAAAGCAATCGGAACCTGAGAAGTCTACAGATTATAGAAAATAAGATAGAGGACATTGGTGTAAAGCTGTCACGTGAAGCTGTGAAACACCCAACTGCCATGCAGAGATCTTGGATTCGAGGCTTGTGAATTAACTGCTGCTTGCTGTGGGGACCCAGCTTCTGCTTTTACCAACAGTAAAACTCTCTGGGGAATCAACTTCTTAGAGAATGCCTTGGACCATAGTGGGGTAAGAGTGCTGAGGCCCAGAAACAACCAAAGTGAAATCTGCATGTAATAGGACTGCGAACAACTAACTTTGATAAACAATTCCAAGCATCTCTGATCATTGGTGGAAAGAGAAATTTGTATTGGACAATCCTAAGCAGTGTGTTGAAGAAGCAGAAAACAAATGGGAAAACTCCATTCCAAGAAAGTTGGGTGTATTCTGACCCAAAACCATGCATAAAGGGAGTGGGCCATTACGTTGGCCTTTCTATGTGTAAGAATTATAGATCACTGACATTCTAATGAAATATGACTGCTTTGGCACTCAGTTCAGATGTGTTGCATAAGTTGGAGTTTTTCATATGCTAACAGAAGTCATGGATTGAGGGAAGGATGGAAAGGTGATGGTGGAGATGGGATGGTTGGAACATAATCAAAACACATTGTATGAATTTCTTGACTCAATAAAAACAAATTTTAAAAAGTCATTAGTCCAGCCGGGCATGGTAGTGCATGCCTTTAATCCCAGCACTTGGGAGGCAGAGGCAGGCGGATCTCTGTGAGTTCGAGGCCAGCCTGGTCTACATAGCGAGTTCCAGGTCAGCTGGGGCTATAGGGAGACCCTGTCTCAAAAAGATAAAAAAAAAAGTCATTAGTCCAGATTATGTTCAATAATAAAAGTTATTCCTATGCCATAACAATAAATGAATCTTTAACAATGTTTAAAAAAATCCCAAAAACTAAATATACAGAAAATATAAAACAAGCATTTATGTTATGAAGAAAAAAAAGAAATAAATGAACACTGCAATTTTCAGCTATGAATAGGATTTACACAATCACGGTTCCATAAATACTGCGTATTCATCTAGCCAAAGAATACATTAAACTGGGAGAGAGAACAACTGGAAGCATGAGTCTATGTGGTGGTAAGAGTGCAAAGGAATAAGAGTTGTAGCTTCATCTTTATGACAGGAGAGCCAATGATAATACCTAACACTAAAAAGAGATCAATAGCAATCTATTATATAGATCCATATATATTGCATATGTCAAAAATAATAGTTTCTTTTTTAAAACTATTTTAGAGAAGTGAAAAAATAAGGGTATTGGATGAAGCACGGGGAGCAGTGCTGATTTTTATGATAAACTTTAATGAAATATTGACTCTCTAAACTATATGTATATATGTATATATATACATATTTACGTATATACGTACAACTTTACTTTAAAAAAATAAAAATATACATGCTTATATGTTTCTAGTAAATGGTTGGGTGTGGTGGCACACACCTTTAGTCCCAGCATTCAAGAGGTAGAGGCAGGCGGATCTTTATGAAATCAAGGCCAGCCTGGTCTACATAGTGAGTTCCAGGCCAGCTGGGACGACAGGGAGAAGAAAAAAAAATTTTTAACAAATGGTTCCTAGTAGAATACTCGAGAAAATGAATTACATATACTGAAAATAAAGTGAGTATTATAGAAAAACTGGCACATACCAACAAACTAACAAATGGCAAGAGAAAACCAGCCACTATTTTTATGTCTTCAAGATGTCTTGCCAGTTAATGATTGCTGAAGTAGGGAAGGAGTCCTTTTCTTTAATGGTAAATAAGCCACTAGTAAGTAAGCTGCCCATGTTCCAGTAAATAACCCACCACACATGCTCATACAAGAAACTAATTAAACTCAAGTGAGTCACAAACAAAAGACATGAAAACAAGAAGAGGGGGAAGAAGAAGGGATCCAGCAGGAGAGGGAGGGAATTAAGAGAGGAATATAGGGCGTGAAAATGACCAAAATGCATTATGTACATGCAGGAAATGGTCAAAGAGTTAAAAAAGATTGAAAAAAAAAGATGTTTTACCATTATAATGTAATTTCTTTGTTATGAAGTTCAGCAAATTATATTACTGATTTTATTTCAAAGAATACATTCTTTTGGATTTAGACAATAACATCAACATATCAATGTATTTTCTAGCACTCAATATAACTACAAGAAAATATACTAAATGCAAAGAAAAATTTTTTTGTGAAATTTTTAAAATTTATGTGTTTGTGCCTTCATGAGTTTATGTGCATCACGTGTACAGGTGCCCACAGAGGCCAGAAGAAGGTGTTAGATCCTCTTAACTGGAGTTACAGTTAGTTAGTTTTAAGTCACCTGATGTAGATGCTGGGAACCAAATCCAGGCCTTCTATAAAAGCAGTGTATGTCTTAACCACTGAGCCGTCTCTCCAGCCCCACAAAGCTAAATTTATAAAGTGATGTCTGTGATACAGGACACCAAAGGAAATACAAGATACACACAATTCATATGTATGTGAGAAATTCAAACGTATTTTCCTTCAGTTAATAATTAATTTATACATTTGTACAGCCTGTTACTTTTCACAAACCATCCCTCAAAGAAGTTTTGATAAGAAATTATAGAAAACTAAAGCCATAACTCAGCTCCCCACCCCCCAACCCCAATAATAACTTTCCAAAATTTTACTACATAAAAACAATAGTAAGCCAGATCTGGTGGCACACATCCCTAAACCCAGCACTTGGAAGACAGAGGCAGGTGGATCTCTTGTGAGATCAAGGCCAGCCTGGTTTACACAGTGAGTTCCAGGCCAGTTGTGGCTATACGGAGAACCTGTCTCAAAAAAAAAAATCCCAGTTTGCAAAAAGTAGATCAATAAGATAAAGGAAATACTGTCTTAGCATGGTAAAACTCAGACTTATAATCATGTAAGGAAGATATCTTTAATAAAATAAAAATATTAATAATACGGAGCTGGAGAGATGGCTCAGTGGTTAAGAGCACTGACTGCTCTTGCAGAGGGCCCAGGTTCAATTCCCAGCACCCACATGGCGGCTATGAACTGTCCTTAACTCCAGTTCCAGGAGAATCCAAAGTCCTCTTCTGACCTCCGTGGCACTACACGATACAGGTGCACTCACATACATGCAGGCAATACACTCATACACATAAAAAATAAAAATAATAAATAAAATAATATTAATAGTACGATTAAACAAAAACTCACAGAAATAAAAACATACATATTAGTAGGAAACACTTTATAAACACTTGAAATAATAAATTCTGTACCCTGTTGCTCCATGTTAGTGCGTGGATCTTCTGCTGAATATTTTGTAGAGGTAAATAAGTCACTGTAGTCCATATGGGGAAACAAATCATCTCCCTCTATTTCAGTTGGAGAGTCTGGATTTGAACTTGGAACAATTTCCTCAAATTTACCATTAATCATCACTCTTATAATTTTCTTCCTATGATATAAAATTATTGATTTTATCTGTGTCCTTTTAAAAATATTCTTATTAATAATTGGCATGTGTTCATTGTGGAAAAAATGGCAAATTCCAATGTATACAAAAAAATATTCATAGTCCCACCACTTGAAATGAATGCAAAATTATGCAAATTCCTCAATTATTTTTAATATTTTTAAGAAAAATTGCACAATATTCACATACATAGTATTCTGTAAACTGTTTTTTTTTTTTGGTCTTTTTGAGACAGGGTTTCCCTGTAGCCCCAGCTGTCCTGGAACTCACTATGTAGACCAGGCTTGCCTTGAACTCACAGAGATCCACCTGCCTCTGCCTCCCGAATGCTGGGATTAAAGGTGTGTGCCACCACGCCCGGCTAACCTGTTCTTTTTTAAAAAAAACTTTTTTTCTTTTATATGTATGAGTATTTTTCCTGCATATATGTATGTGTGCCACTTGTATGCCTGGTGCCCACAGAGGCCAGAAGAGGGTGTTTGGATTCCTCTGGAACTGGAGTTACAGATGGATGTGAGCTGCCATGTAGGTTCTAAGAACTGATCCCCAATCCTCTGCAAGAGCATCAAGTGCTCTGTATAATTTTCCATTCATCAGTGCTATATTTTTGGTCTTACATATTTTCCAAAGACCCATGTGTTAAAGACTTTATTCCCAGAGTGACACTACTGGAAGATAGTAGAACTTTTAAAAATTGGAATCTATTGGGAGGTGTTTAGAACACTAGGAATATGTCCTTGAAAGGAACAGTGGGACTCTAGTCCTTCACTCTTTCTCTCTTCTATTTCCAGTCCATGAGGTGAGCAGTTTCTCTCTGCTGGTCCAGTTTGGAAGTAACTGTGCATGTCCACCAAAGGTTTCACTTTTACTTACTTACTTAATTTATTTAATTATTTATCTCTCTCTCTTTTGTCTTTTTTGAGACAGTGTCTCCCTGTAGCCCCAGCTGGCCTGGAGCTCACTAGGGTAGACCAGGATGGCCTTGAACTCACAGAGATCCACCTGCCTCTGCCTCCCAAGTGCTGGGTTAAAGGCGTGCATCACCACGCCCAGCAAAAGGTTATATTTCTTTAAGCTAAGGGAGGTAATAAGTTCCTGCTATTCCCAATCCTAGAGTTATTTTGTGTTTTTCTCTTAACTCACTAGGATAGTTATAATAAAATACAGATAATGAAGTACTGGCAAGGATGTGAATAAATGGTAAGCTATAGCACACTGCTGGTAGGAATATACTGGTGCAGTTGGTTGGATAACAGTCTGGCAGTTCCTTGAACAGTTAACATAGGGTTACTATATGACCCAGTAATTCCAATCCTAGATAACTGTTTATACAAAGATTTGTACACAAATGTTAGAATTTCTCATATTTTTCAAAAGGAGAAACAACCTAAATGTCCACCAACTAATGAATGGGTAAGTAAATGTGATATATACATAAAGCACAATATTATTTTGAATTAAAATAAATTAACTCCGGATACATGCCACACATTGCCAAATTACCCTTGTGCTTTATATTCAATGACTGCTCCACAATATCATTATCCAAACCTTTATGTTCTGTTCTGTGATTAAGACCCAGTTTAAAAATGGACAAAAGGGGCTGGAGAGATGGCTCAGCAGTAAAGAGCATTGGCTGCTCCTGTAGAGGACCCATGTTTGGTTCCCAGCACCCACATGGCAGCTAACAACAGTCTATAACTCCAGTTCCAGGGGATCCGATGCACTCTTCTGACCTCTGCAGGACTGCACAACATGGGTGCACTTAACACACATGCAGGTAATACACTCATATACATAAAATTTTAAAAAGTAAACATAATAAATGAGAAATAGAAAGAAGAAATACATCACTTCTAATTAACCTTCCCCTTTGTGCTTGAAATCAGGACTTTTTTTTGCTTGAGATTAACAAAGAAAATGTATAAGAGGACAAAAGAAGGGATTTTCCCTTCTTAGATGCCTGAAGAACCTACTATTTATCTTCTAGACAGAAAATAAGAAATTTGAGATTAGGGAAACATACGTCTCAGGGAAATCCTCTATCCAGAAACTTGATTTCCATAGATCCAAGACTGAGCTATCTGTCGTTTCCGGACCTGATATAGCTGAGATGAAAAAGGAACACAATAAACATTAGCTTCTAAAATTTTCTTTTACATTTAACATAAGAAAATCAAACATCCATCCTTTTTTTTCCCCAGAGGTGAAGATGCATCTCTTTCAAACTTGGCTGTAAATTTTTAGGTTTACAGTTGAATTAATACAGTTGTACAATATTGTTCTCCATATAACCCCTATAAGACATAAAATTAAATGAGGTTTTAACCTTTAAAAAAGATCTCCATTTCATTATTAAAATACACAGTTTCATACAGAAAAATTCATTTTTAATACAACTGACACTAAGATGCACATGTGTTTCTAATCTCTATATATCTGATTATTACTAGTTACAGTCGGTTACTTTCTGGGCTCCGTGGCATCTGAGCATGGATATAAAGTCATCAGGTAGATTTCAATGGTAATTTTTTTCACATCCATCAATTGTTAAGGAGCAAATTTTTATGCTTTGAAGAATTATTATTTTTTAATTTTTTATTTTTTTTACACCCACTTCCCAGATAGCACCCTTCCATAGCCTCCCTCCCCCCACTAGAGCCCTTATACTCTGATATCCCTGCTACTGTCCACTGTGTTGTTGCCCCCCCCACT